ATTCATTGCCTTGCATGCAAAATTGCATTCGCCAAAACTCTTTGTCCTAGTTGGTCTGTTCCCCGACATGCCAGTCAATTACTATGACCATGGCCATCCTCCCATCAACAGTCCCAACGCTTTCGGTTCTGGCTTTGATTTTGACTTCAATGAATTTGATTTCACAAATATGGACAACTTTGACTTCGAAAACATGGACGTCAATGCTCTGGGTTCGGCAAATCTGGATGTCGGCGCAACAATTGATTATGAACAGGCCTTCATGGAAGCTGCCTTATCGATAGGTGTACAGGAAAATAGGCCTGACTATTTTATAGCAGACAGCTCTCAGCTCGTTTTGCCCCCGTACCCTTCTCATCCCAACATCGACACCATGTCGTCTATTGGTACTTTGGCAGGCCTCAGTTCCTCTCCAGTGCTGACATCCAGCAGTGGCGTGCTCAGTGCGCCTATCCTTCCAAAACCCGATGGTGATCACCGCCGGCCCACTAAGCGCAGAAAGGTCGACGAGGTTAACGCAGCCCACATTCTTCCCGAAGGTCTTCAACGAAGCCGAACAAAGAGTGCTAAGGCCACGGCAGCTCTGGGGGAATAGCTTACTATGGACACTTAAGTTAGTTTACACGAAACTACATACATATTAAAGTCTCCAGTACTTGTCATATCGAAGGATCCATCAATCAGCGTGGCGCTCCCAGAGATTAAAGCCAAAGTCACGACATCCACATCCATACACGTCGCACCCAGCCCATATAACCTCCATGCCTGCCATACCTCCCTCTAAGGCACCAATTCTCTCTTTTGCGCAACTCAGTGTAATCCTGCGCCAGTTCAAAGTCATCTGGTCGCCCTTTGTTGGTGGGTGGCTGATGTTGCGATGGAGCCGAGAACACCATCATATACCCTTCTCGTGGATAGGTAAGGTGGAGGGATAACGAGAATATGAGGGATGAGCGACTCTCGTGTCGTTGAGGGGAGGATCTTGTAGAAGTTGGCAGAGAGGAAATGCGAGAAAGAAAGTTGGGTTCCATATACATTCGGCCCCCCGCAGGTCAACGACATCCACCCTCTTTGTCCCTTGGCATTGAAAAATGTTCGTAACCTAATCCACGAATTCACGAACGACGATGAGAACCTCGATCAATCCATCGTCCGCACTACCTTGATCCCCCAAGGTTACACACACTAAAGTGAAGCCATGCATCCGTGTCGTCTGAAGGGCCCTCGATCAACGTCAGATGGGAGAACACTGAAATAGGCCTATGACGTATTTGGCTTCAAGCCTCGAGGAGAGGTGGTGGGGGGGCAGTCGAGATTGGCATGTGCAGACGTGTTGTTGGAACACTTGACGGCAGGGCAATCTAGTCGGCTGAGGATAGAATGCGCCAAAGTAAGGGCGAGATGGTGGATAATGGGGAACTATGTCTGAGATCGGAACGTTGGTGGATTGAGCGGGTGGGGACGTCGACGTTGGCCTGGCACTGCTGTTGTGTTCAGAAGGCATCCGGCTGGATGGTTTGTGATACAAGGAGGATGGCCCAAGTGTTCTCTGCCCATACCCTTGAGTCAAAGGTGCATCCGCACATGTTGAAGGAACTTACCCCAAGGCGTAAACACAATCAAATGTGGTGTTCTCGAGAAGCCGGCCTCCGTGACGAGCCCTATCAAAAATTTGACTGGTTTAGAACCTGCATTTGGTGGGGATGAGAGTGGTTTGAGACTTACAGCCAAAACCAAAGCAGAAGAGGGCAGCAAAGTTGTCAAGATGGATGTTGCAGATGAAGAGAAGCGAACGCGTGTCGCAGTTGCTCCCACACCTGTCAGACCCATGACGTCACACTCAAGAACCTCCCCATGGCCTATCCACACCCTGCTCCCGCTCCCGTGCTTCTCATATCCCTGCGCCGTAGTACCAATGCATAGCGTTACAGCGGCCTCGCTCAGGCTCTCTTAGCAGTACACAAATCCTGTATGATGATTAGGTTAAAGGCAAAGGATGATGCGAGATGGCATACCTTGTGAAGCACATACATTCGTGAAAGACAAATGCAAACTCGACCTTCGAAGATGGAGGCAGTCACGATAAGGTGTCCTTTCTTACGTCGGCTTGAGAAAATGTTAAGCAAACTTGCATGCGAACGTTGCAGAATCTACGTACCAGGTCTCAGTTCAACGGCACGCGATCCAGGAGGTGGAGATCACTTCGAAGCATTCCCAAACATTAGCAATGAATGCGACACATTTTAGACGTATACTCACCGGTAAGACAATATGAACCAAGATCCTTGACCATTCTTCAAACCTAAACTCGATTTGCGGCCGTCGGGGACTCTTGGATTCAGCGGTACACAGGGGAAGACATTGTCACACAAAGCACCAGCGGAACGTAGAGATGCGGATGCATATGCAGTAGACATGATGGTGGGGGAAGAATGACGATGTTAGGGAACACACTGAAGAATACACGTGACATTCTTCTCACCTTTGGGAACCAAAATCCGGACCATTCGGACTAGTGTTGCCGCAATGTAATGTACATTAAGTTTAATGTCAACCTTAAGGCGCATTATGCCTATATTTGGTGGCTTCAAGGGGCTTTAAGGTGAGGCAGTGTAGGGCTGGGAATTGCGGGGAATTGCCGACACCGTGGTCGCGCCTTGAAAAAGCTTGAAGTGACGTCATTGGAATAGGCGCGCTGGCCTCAGTGTTGTGCGTTCTGAGTAGTAGTGGACGCGTCGAGCAGTAGCAGTCGCGCTGAGGTCAAAAACCATCAGGACTCTTTCCAAGGCTGTTTATACATTAGCACAGCCTATACAGGAGAGATGGCTACATATGTGCAATATAGTATCACCGCGCCCAAACACAAAAAGCCAGCCACAGATCCCAACATGCGAAAACCTCCAAGAAAGCCTGAGGGACGTAAAGTGACGGCAAAGAATTTGACAGCAGCAGAGCCAGGGCCACTTTACGGTGTTGGACCTGCAGACTCAAGCGAAACAACTTTGGATCACTGATAACGCGACGTGCGGCACGCAAGAGATCTACCGCTTTTGCCACGAGTGTCGTCTGGTATTTCGTGCGCTCGTTTCAATCGAAGAATCCATCCCACTTGATGAGTCTCCGTTTCCAACCATGATGCACCCAAGACTTATTGTAAGGCCAGCCTGCTGGAGGAGTATCAACAGCCTGAGGTTTCTCGAAAAACGGCACCAACTCCTACTCCAATTGCAACCTCCGTCACATGGACAAGACCAACGGCGTCGCACGCCGCACTTGCACAAGTTTCTATTAACCTCTATCTAAGTAGTTTATGTATATTGTTCGTAGTCCTTTTACTAGTTTTGTGACGGTCTTGTACATTTCCAAATTCGGAAGGCGCTTTAAGGTCCCATTAAGGTACTTTAAGGCCGGGATTTTTCCGGCCTTAAATTCCATCAAGCATCCATTGCGGCAACACTAATTCGGACTCCGAATGGTCCAGATTTTGGTCCCCGAAGGTGAAAAGAATGATGTCATCCACTGTTTCTTGCGCAATAACATTGAAGGAAAATGCATCAACACCTAACCCTAACCAAAGAACGTTCAATGGCTGGCCCGGCGAGGTTCGGCAGGTAAGTAGGGTACTTATACTATCCCACTTTCGCAAGATAACCCAAATTGATCACATCACACTTTCGCTATACAATCCTACTGCTGAGATTTGGGACCACACTATTTCAGTTTGCTATCCCACTATTCGGGGTAAGATCACACTATTTTACTAATATATTATAATCCCACTACTACTATTCTTGTCATCACCCGTTTCAGCTATTTCCAGGCCATTCAGACTAAAAAATATAGGAGGTTATTTTTTTTTTTTTAACAGCCTGTCAGCCGGACTAACTAACCATCCCGATATGGCATTTTCAAATCCTGGACCCCCCTTGTCTACTAGTACCTGGAAGCAAGCTTTGATTCTATTATCACTCGTCGAGTCGCGCGGCCATTCAAATTGTCGCATATTTAATCTACAGGAGTGATAATCCAGAGCTGATTCGGCGGGAAGAACGGCGGTTCACTCGGACCAACGATTAGCAAGCCGCAAGCGACCTACATAATTTCCAACAAACCGCCTTTCAATAGTACAAAATACAGAACTCACCTGAGTTCCTGCTTCATTCTCAGGTAAAACCCAACCTTCCTTCGTCACCGGGTTGTCAATGCTGAAAAAACTATGTTTAACCTCACTCCAGCTCGACCAAGAAACCTACTTACATGTAGACATCCTTTCCACTGACATCCGGAGCATTCGTAAGACACCATCTAACGCCCTCATCTACCTCCTCAAACAACGACGCAAACACCTGGCGATTTTTCGAGAACGCAGGAGCACCGCCAGCTTTGATGGTGTAAAGCCCAGATTGCTCTTCAATTACCCACTACGACGATCACAAAGAACGCTCAGGTTGATTGCCAATTCATTCGAGAATCAAGGCTTACGGGATACGCCCTCTGTCCAGCTTGAAGCGATAGAAACAATCGGCTTGGGAAGGAGACTATGATCTTCGTGGGCTGCCCGCTGGACGAAAGAATCGAAGCCTTTATTGCGGATGAGGTATTTTCCTGTAGGGAGCGTCATTTTTGACGGTGCTCTGGAAGACGTACCTTCGGGCTTTTATATATCATGATCGTAAACTTCATTTCCACGCTTGTGCGATAGAATTCGAGGAAGCGTGAGGTTGTTTGTGTTAGGGGTATGGAAGGTCCGTTCATATAAATCACTTGACACTCGCTAGATAGCAAGAACGAAGCTTACTTTGCTGAGCTCAGAGCTTGGCGCACATAGTGAGGAAGCATCTAAAAATAAAGGTTACAGCTGGCGAATCATTCGACCAGCTAAATGAGGTCACGATGAACGAATATTCAACGGAAATGCCTTTTCTCCTATTCCGGACGAAAGAAGACCGCACCAACGTATGCAGTATGTACCCACTGTCAGACGCGAAAACGCCACAAGATGCCCAAGAAATATCTAGTCTATGAATCATAGCTAGCAAAGTATAACAATGAATCCTTATGGTATAACCGCCTCAATCGTCCTCGTTCTAGTATCCTTCAGAAATGTCACCAAATCCGTCCCACCAGTCCCCTTGACCGGCTCCCTCTCTTTCCCCTCCCCTTGCAACCCCTTTGAATTCCTTAAACTCGCCGCTCTCCTCGCCGGACCCAATATATACAAATGCGCAATAATCATATGTGCATCCCTAAACTTCTTCAAAGCGCCCACCGCCCGATTATACGCCCCCTCCAACTCCCCATCCCTCGCCCCAACCACAAACTCCCTCAACGGGCGAGGGCTCTTCATCAGATGATCAAGGAACAACCGATGTTTTCTGGGCATGTACGATTGCATGCGTTGCATGAACGATGGATTGCCGTGGTTCACACCTAAAAAGGAGTCCAAAGCGTGAATGAGTGAGCTCTGTCCCGCGCTGGGACCAGATAGCTCCTTCGGGACGAGAAGCCCCTCCTCCGCCAGCCCTTCATACACCCATTTCCGCTTGTTCGCGTCCGAGTCTTCACCGCAGAACCACGGTCGTACTTGGTTATAGTACGTATCTGGATCACAACCATTACGGACGTCATTCATCAACGCACGAAGTTCGTCAATGACGCTGGAGAGGGTGGACAGGTATTGGGTGACGTGGCGCACTGCAATGGAGTCGTTCACGGATGTCTCGTCCATGGTTGCACGTACAAGTTGGAGAGCCTCGACGCCGCGCAACTCGATACGCGCAGAGCAGAGATAAAACTCTTCTTCGTCTCTCAGTCCCGTGAATAGTGTCTGGGAACGGACGTTGAGAGGTGTTGGGAAGTCTTCACTGGTACATATGACCCAGTTGTACAGGACGGTGTCGGAGAAGGTGAGTAACGGTGGGATGTCGAGCTTCTGAGAAATGCGGACAAGAGGAAGAGATATGGGTTTGGGTATACAGATGGGAGACGTCAGAGGCAGAGTGTGGATGTAGAAGTGAAGAATATAAGTTAACACAAGATGGGCTCGACGTAGAAGCATGGGCGAATCCAGTTCACAAATGGGTATGACCGGCAGCTGTCAAACGCAGTAAGTGTACGCCTTGAAATTTGAAACCCAAGCCGGCAAAACAACGCACCTGACGAACACGTACGCGCCATGCCTCTGACGCCTCAGCTTCCTCGACAGCAAGACCCACTTTACCCCCAAGCTGCAATTTCGCATGAATGGCAGCGTCTAGTATAGTTTCCCATAACTCCCAGAGTTGAGGGAGGCGGGTCAGGGGAGGAGAGGGAGGCATGAAACCAGCACGCTCGTCAACATCGAAAGCGTGAAGTTCATTTTCGTAAGGAGACATTCAGTATAGATAGAAATGAGAGAGGACGAAAAGGAGTAGCTCTCTTTTACATAATTCCGCTGTCGGGTCTTACCCGGCTGACCGGTCCTGTCAACGCGACATTTTGGATCTAATTTTTGGAATCGCCAGGCAAGTAAGTAACCCATCTTGTAAGTAAACTCGTTCTTACCGTGTGCATCTAAAACCGAGATGTTGATGTTGCTGAAACGTGGGCGTCAATTTCAAGAAAGGACAGCCTTGTATCTAAAAACGCGTCAACACGTGACAGGACGCATCTCGTCATTATCTGCAAACATCG